TCGAAAAAAAATGCTCCCTAACTCCAATACAATGCAATACATACACACTTAGAAAAATCCATGTAAATTTAGATGCTCTGAGAGTGACATATACAAGCGTCAATTTTGACATAGATTTGAGTCATAACAGACGTGAAATATAGCTAAATCAAACGTACTTTTCGTCGAGAAACGAACTTTTCAGCCTCGGAGCACTTAAAATTACATGACATGTTTGTTTACGTCTCATTTTTTATGTCAATGATGGATTCCGTCACGTATAAAATTAGTTATTTCTAAGTGTGTATCAAGCTGTAACACTGACAGATTCTTTTTGTCGACTTTCTCTATGCATTATCACGGCCATGTTAAGGCATTCCCAACTATTTTCACCATACATATCTATGAAAGAAGCTATTCACCCATATTCTCGTTTTCGTTCAAACCGTATTTTCCATACAAAAAAAAAGTTTTTTTGTATGGAAAATACGGTTTGAACGAAAACAAGAATATGGGTGATTATCTAGCTTCCAATACGACAAACACGGTAAGAAACGGTTCTGTACCCAAGTTATTAACGAAAGAAAGTCGATGAAGAGAATCGATCAATGTTACTTAGGACCTAATGCAATGTTCAGCTTGATATGTATACAATACAAAGCAGCTTGAAATATTTTTTCTACAACTTTGCCAGACACATCAACCTTCTATCTCGACATTATGAAATATAATTTTACATGTAGTTTTTAGGGGATTAATCACAAAACTCATTTTTTTCAAAAGATGAAGCATACCATGTCCATCAGCTTTGTAAGAGACGTCATCACTCAAAATCCACTTTTTCATGGTGCTCTTAATTAAGAGCGTGAAAATAAACTTTTAAAACACTGTGCAGCGGTGGCAGTGCGGGATGTGACGGAAGATACATGGTGAAGCTGTTCCATGCCGTCATCACTGATGAATCGATTTTATTTTTCCCTCTCCGAGTTCCGTGAATCTTCGCCTAATTCAATGCCAAGCGTAATAAACCAAGCTTGTGCAGGGATTCGGTCATTTTGACTCTCGCCAACTTTTTCAAAATGGCGTGTTCGATATGTTTCAATAAATCATAGCACGAAAACGGCTCATCTGATTGAAATGACGTCTTAAATAAACAAGGTAACTTATTGTAAATTGTAATTTTTTTGTCGCAATTTGTATGTGATTTGTGTATTGAAATATATTTTCTGGAACAACAAATATGTTTTCTGCATGAAAAACAATAAAAAGTATATGTTCAAAATTTATAGTAGTAAAAGTTGATACTCTACGATTTTTGCCAATTAGACAATTGAAAGCTTATCTAATTGGCAAAAATCGTAGAGCATCAACTTTTAACTACTATAAATTTTGAACATTATATCCACTAATACGTTTTATTGCTTTTCATGCAGAAAACATATATGTTGGTCCAGAAAATAAACATAATTTATGATATATGAAAAATGTATGCTTTTCAATATTGAAATCTTCACAGTTTTTTTTTCATTGACGATGAGAATATGTGTTTGTTTCATTGTGTTTTCTACAACCTTCTCAAACGTCATTTCGATTAGATAAGCCGTTTTCGAGCTATCCTTTATTGAAAAATATCGAATACGACATTTTTAAAAATCAGGCGGGAGTCGAAATGGGGGAATTCCAGCACAAACACGGTTCATTGCCTCTAGCGAACAATTATGCGTACTTTCATGACATTTTAAGAGGTAAATTTAAAATTTGTTTATTTTTTGATAATTGACCTGGAAATGCTCGGTGGCGATTCTCGATCTGGTTGAGGAGACTGCAGGGAAAATGATCGTTATAACTCCCGAGACCGAGAAAAACTGGGAAGAGAATGTAAGCGATGTACAGAAACAGAATCCACCTGTATTCAAGGAACAGGTATACTACTCATAATCGCATATCAGACCCATATGGATAGGAAATCAAGCAAAGATGGAACTGATAAGCGATTATGGGCAGTATATTTCTACGAGTTTTGTGGACGGAGAGTAGAAAGAAGCAACGGTTGAATGAATTGAAGAACTTGGTAGAACAGCAGTACGTATGTACGTAAGACACATAGGAGAAGTCAACCTGACACTGCTTCGAAATAGTGTTTTTTTGACGTAGGATTACGTCTTTCGGCAACATATTGGGGGTGCAATTTAAAAAAAAACCAAAATTAACCGCGGGACGAAAATAGGTCAGGTTTTGACCACATATACCACTGTCAATAGCAGATGAATTTTAATTCTAAATAAGCCAAAGAATTGGGAATTTATCTACCAATCTGCTAAATTGAACACTTTATTAATTTTCAATAGGTCACTATTGAAAAATACACAAATGTCCAAGTTTGCAATGGTGATCAAAATTATAACCGATTACCTGCAAACAGCGCATTCCCTAACACAGATTTAAAAATCGAATTCGATCCTGTCTCACTGAACGGTGCTCATTCAATCACCGTGTGTGGTGGTGTCCGGTCGTCAACGTCAGCAGCAGCAGCAGTGATTAGCGTGTGGCGTACCCCACGAAAGGCAGCCTGCAAGCAGTGAGCTGCAGAGCCCACATGAGCACCCATAGAAGGAGGAAGAAGCCGCTGGATCGAAATCAGTTTCCTCGTGAGTAGCTGTGGGTCATTTATGCCAAGCGTGTCAACCTTGCTCCAAACAATTAACAGCTCGCCAACCACACCCCAATAGCTCAGCATTACTGAACCATCACGACTAAACGGTCCTTTTCAGGACCACCACAAATTTGTTAAAGAGTATGTTTTGGATATTGTAAAGGTTATCAATCGGATGTCAGCTCCCGCAAGCAGCTAACTATCAAAACTCAATCTGGTCTATAGAAGGTGTGGAATTGTAGGCCTGAATGTATTGGTGCAATTCGTTTTTCACTAGGTTTTCATTTCGATTCGCACGATTCGTTTACTCAGTCATCCTTGTAGTGGCGTCATAATGTTTGTTTCGATCAGCATAGGAAATTAATATGAATTATAGAATTTGTGCATGTTACCAAAATTTTTGAATGATCTGCCACTAAATGTTGAGATAATTAATTGATTATTGAATATCACACTGTGTATACCATGAAAAAGCAGCCTGTTTGTGAGTTCCATATAACATACAGTTCGCCAGCCTTATCCGTGTTGAACACCCTAATAGATCAGCATTACTCAACCATCACGAGAAAACGGTCGTTTTCTGGACCATCATAAATTTGGTAAAGATTATTTTTTTTTACGTAGGATTACGTCTTTCGGCAACATATTGGGGGTCCAATTTCAGAAAATCAAATCCGACCGCATTACGAAAAGAGGTCAGGTGTTGATTACATACATATAACTCTGTCAATAGCAGATGGATTTTAATTCTAAACAAGCCAAACGATTGGAAATTTAGCTGGCAAATTGCTACAATGAACACTTTATTAATTTTCAATAAGTCACTATTCAAAAATACACAATGTCCACCTGTTGCAATGGTGATAAAAGTTATCACCGATTACCTGCAAACAGCGCATTCCCTAACACAGATTTAAAAATCGAATTCGATCCTGCCTCACTAAACGGTGCTCATTTAATCACCGTGTGTGGTGGTTGTAGTAAATAATGCAGACCGTTGAAAAATAAAATGTTTAAGACTAGAAATGTAAGCAAAACAAAAAAGGAGAATAATTGACATTTATCGTCCCAGTGCCAAAATGATGGATATTATCGATCTCATGAAAACATATGAATACTAGTGTGAAGCCGGGGGGAGCTTTATACTATAAAGCTAGCTATAAAGTTATTATATCCCGGACTAGTGTAGTTTGTGGATTAGAGGTCTGAGATGGATCTCACCGTGTGTGTGCGTGTGTGTGTTCGATAATATTCGGAGATAATAAAGGATGGTATGCTTCTGTGTGTGAGTGTTCATAGTTGATAATTAAACGAGATGATGTGAAATGGGAATATTGGTGAGTGGTTTCGCTTATGAGAGAGTGAGATGACCATATTTGATAGGAGGTTTGGGAAACACAAAAAAGGCTCGAACAAGTTATTCAGAAAACTAATTTTGATGCGGAAGGAAGTTTTTATTCAAGCGCTCCTAAAAAAAATGGACACTGAAAGCAACGTCGGTCACCACAATGGCGCAGCGATTGCTCCCAAATTGTAAGTATACGGAAATTTAATTGGAAAGAACATTTTGCAGTGAATTCTAACTTGTTATGCTGAAAATTAGTGAAAACTAGAAATGGATGTTGAGTGTGCAGATTTTATTTTATCGGTAGTTATATAAAAAAAAAAAAAAAAAGATAGAGCGAGTATTCCTTTGATGGTCGGCCATCTTGAAATTAAAAAAAAATGTATTTTCAATAAAAATTAATACGTACAAATTCAGTAGGCTCCCCATGACCTGATGGGTGGTGAGTAATCTGAAAAGAGTTGCAACTGATTTAAAATTATAATATATGCTTCAGCAGGCTCATCATGACCAAATGGGTGTTGAGTAGGCTGACAACGTTTGAAATATCAGTATGCTTACCATGACCTGTTGGATGGCAAGTAGGCTAAATAAGAAATGATGAATTAAGCAATACAGCAAATAAAACAAAATTAAAAAAAAATTCAGTAGGCTCACTATGACATGATTGGTGGTGAGTAGGCTGAAAAGACTCGTTTAGTCAATATAAAATAAAAGAATTCTTTCGACTGAAATTGTTAGAGCAGCTGGCAGCAAAAGATTGTAAACAAACCAATACTGCATATGTGTGTGTTCCTTAGAGAAAAGGGCTATAGAAAGAAGGTCGCTGCTTAGGTTGTCGAGAATACGTAAATTCCCCTACTAAATAAATGAAGTGAAATTTATTTTAGGTATTCAACACGAGAGCATTCTGGGACGAGAAAGGTTTGTGTATACACTTTGCGGGTAAAGCGCTGTCCAGACTGAGAAGTTATAACATGTCTGAACGTTCAACGTACTATAAGATATCTATTTTATACTCACCTTTGATAGCTTTGGTGAATGTTGGTGGTGATGTTTCCGCTGTTACTAACTGAATCACCTTCAAAACGCACGTAGTTTGAATTTCATTGTAGTTGTTTTTAGCTGAGCAGACGTATTCACCGGCATCTTTATTTGTCACGTTATTGATTACGATCTGTCCTATTACACCGCTGTTAAGTAGTTTTACGCGATCGTTGTAATCAATAGCTTTTTTATTTTTCTGCCATTTAATTATTGCTTGGTTGCCGTTGACAGAACAAATCATTTTAACTGTTTGGCCTTTCTGAGCTGTTATATTATGTAGTTGGCCGGCCCATGTTAATTTATTTTTTGAATCTCTGATAACATACGATTCCTCCTTGTAAGGCTCAGCAGGAGGTTCAGCCCGTGATGTACCACGGGCAGTTGCATGCTCTTGAGCTAGTTTCGCTTCCTGTTCCTGCTTTTCTAAGAGCTCTTCCTCTGTTAGAATCTTTTTATCGGCATGGTGCATACCAGGAAGATGAATGTAGTGCACCTTAGCAGTAAAATCGACTTCATGTGAAATCACTCGTTCTCCTGATGAGTTCTGTGCTATACACGTGTACAGTCCACTATCGTCTGCTGTTGGATTGTATATATTTAATTGAAATATTTCGTTACCCTCATATGAAGCACGAACTCTATTATCTAAAGTAACGGGATCTTCTCCCTTTAACCAAGTCACTTCAGGTATACACCAGCTTGGTTTGGACATAATTTGGCACTCAATTATTAGATCATTCAAGGCATGGTGGTAGTAATCTGTTAGAAAAAAAAAAATCGATAAAGGTATAATTAATATCACTTTGTGCGAATGCATCAATAAGATAGAAACATAATAAGAGTTGGTGTAAATTTTGGATTTGTCAATACATATTTTTAATGCCATGAACCATTTTATTTATTTCTACGTGATATTTCTGATATCTTTCACCTGAGCTTGATGCCATTAAGATTGAATAATTATACTTGTGTCCATGCTTGCAATTGCTCATTACAACTAAAATGCTGTTATTCGGAATTATGAAATTACTAGATATTATAACTATATGTTTTATTTGTGAGATGCAGAGAAGGAGGTAAAGTTCGTGTATGACACATTAAACCTGTCAATTCAACTTTCAGAGGGTTCCAATTAGCAATTTTATGATGCTGATTGTTCACTCATTCCGATTGCTCATTACAATTAAAATCGTTTACTGTGACTGTTTGAAAGCAAAATAGATAGGTTTTATGTATCACTAATTTTACATCCTCTACTTGCATCTTACATAAAACAATCATTATCATTGTATCTCAAAGTTTCATAATTCTAACAACAAACCTTTTAGCTGTAATGAACATTTGGAATCTTGCTTTTGTCACACCACATTCGAATCTGGCCAGGGGGGGCTGTTAATAAAAATATATTTAAATTAAAACAAAACTTGCAATATGGAATTAAACCAAAAGGTAATAGTATTGCCGCGGATACACTTGTATGACAAACTATGAACATGAGCATTATTTGTATAATAAATTATTAGCACATCCAAAAACTATACAACTGTAACCATGGATTTGCACATAATTTAATTAATAAATAATGCTCCTGCTCATTGTTTGTCATTCAAGTGTATCCGTGGCATAAATTTCAACCATGATAAATTATTTCTTAGTCACATACTTCGCGTCCGCTTTTTTTTAATGCAAGTAACAAATTAAATTTTTCGAATTTTAAAATACGTTGATAGCTTCAATTGAATAAATGAAAATGGTAATTACTTTCTGATATTAAAAAAAATGTGGTGAAAATGGTAATTACGTTCAAATTGCATGACCTTTTTTTAGTACATCATCATTTTTGTAGTTACGGATCGTAAAACTAGGTGCCGCATTACCATTTTTAGCTTTGCTTTGATTCGTCGATGGTCTCCCGCATTATATCCGCTTGCGTAGCGTTAACTTAAACTTCACTGTAAAACAATAGATTTAGCTGTCACCTTGCTGCAACGCTTCAGATCCGGATCTAATGTGAGTGACTCTTTAGAGTTAGAAATTTTTTGAAACTATTAAACTGGAATATCTCTTCAACCTATCCACATGATAATAGACACCTCCAGAGTTGCAGAACCATTTAAATTAATGCCACCAACTGAAAGCTTTCGAGCTGATTGGTTCATTAGATTGAAATGTGAGAATTGAGGTATTATTGTACTACGGAAAACTAAAAATCATAAAGATTTTAGGATTTTAGATTTTTTTTTCAATACTGAAACGTAGACATTTAAGTATTCTGATTGTGCTTATAATTCCAGTTGTATTTTAAGGAATAGTCACTGTCTTATATAAATTTATAAGGAATTCGAAAAATAGCGAAAAAATAATCAGATTTCAGATATTCGCTCTAGAAATTCAATGAAACTCGTTAGTTTGTGCTGTAAATCATAACACGAATACGACTCATCTAATCGAAATGAGTTTTAGAAAGTCTTAGAAAACAGGATGGACTTTTCAGAAAAAAATGCACACCAAAAAATAAAAAATAAATAGTCTAAAAAACTTATGATTCAAAGCTAATTAAAGCTTATCAAAGCTTATTGAAGCTTATCAAAGCTTATCAAATATACTATTTTTTTTCTGATATGCACACTTTTAAATTGATCAAAATAGTAGTAAATCTAGACCTGTGTGCCGGTCATTTAATTTAAAGCCGCCTCGACGGCGGCGGCGTAAATTAATCATAGCCCGGAGCCACTAAAGTGTACTTTTTGAATCGGTAGGCGCGACCACTTGGCAATGAAATACAATTGTAAGATAATCTAAATGATAATGGTAATGATAATGTTTGTTTTATGCACTCCAGGCGTCTCTCAGATATAGGAATTAGGGTAAAGTTGTGTGACATAATTATATTGTTGCATTGAGGATGCGACATAAAAACTAGTATTTAACTGAGTGTTTGATTACATGAGCATTTTGTGTGATCGTTGGTTCTGAATATGGACAAACAGGCAGATGAATTCTATTCCTACTCTTTACTGTAATATGCTTGGTGGCCCTGAAAAGAGTTGCCAAAGTTGGTGATGATTTAACCTCCGAAACCAAACAGAGTGCGTCTCTGTCACCAGCCATGGCCGCTTACGCTTGGCGTGTTTAGTGTAGGTGACAGCATCACGGATCTCATTTTTCAGGAACACCTTCAGCACACCTCGTAAATCAGACCGGAGATACGTCAGATACCGCCACAGCGAGCCAGACGACGGATGGTGGTTATCTCGAAGAATTTGCGTTTGGCGATGAGTGTGCAAAATATTACGCAATTCCATCCTCCCTATTCGCACGCGCCCGAGTATCGGAGGCGAATGCCACTTCGACTTGTTTCGTCTACTTACTACTCTCTGACGACTGTTCTGGGGAAGCAGCATATGCATGTAGGTAATTGGTGGATTTGTTAGTTAATTCGACGCTTTTGGAAAATGCTGGACATTTACCAGTTTTTCAATAGTTTCATGTTGAAAATCAACATTCGGAAGCATTGTTATCGATGCGTAGCCATATTTCTGATCGATTGGTGATAAAATTATTGAAGTTGGACCAGGGGCAACTTCAACGTTCAAAATCTATCTTAATTTGTTACATGTTCCATTTTCGGTTTTCACAAAGTGTACCCCCATATAGAAATCAAAGACGTAGTCCTACGTCAAAAACTCCAAGCTTGGGGCCTTTCTATACATATAAGCTTTTCTCATGGAAACTCTACAGCTTCTCGATTTAGTTACATGGGTCTTCCCTAGAGCTCATGTTTAAGCCCCTTTTTTATAATTTCTACGTCAGAGAAATTGACAATTGTCTAAGTGACAACTGCACGTTGAGACAACTTGCAGATGACGGCGTAGTGTCTATGACAGGACCCAAAGGGGTCAACCTGCAAGGACCCTTACAGGATACCTTAGACAATTTGTTCAGCTATTCAGCTAGGTATCGAATTCTCCACGGAGAAAACTGAGTTGGTTGTTTTTTCTAGGAAGCATAGCCCAACAAAACCAAAGCTTCAACTTTTGGGTAAACCGATCACTCATTCTATGTCTTTCAATTATCTTGGGGTCTGGCTCGATTCTAAATGCACCTGGAGATCCCACATTGAGTGTCTGAGACGAAAATGCCAACAAAGAATCAATTTTCTCCGAACAATTACCGGAACGTGGTGGGGAGCCCATCCGCAAGATCTTCTAACGTTGTACCGGACAACGATTTTATCGGTTTTAGAGTACGTTAGTTTCTGCTTCCAGTCCACTATGGGGATTCAGGTGGTTATTAAGAAGAAGACCGACTTCTCTCGATTCGGATTCTGTAATCTGCTATCGAAAGAAGATTATTTGATACATAAAATCCCACAAAAAGAGTTCTGAAAACCGACTCTATTACTGCGATACAGGTAATAGAGTTGGTTACTCGCCTGTTTTTGAGAAAAGCAGTCATATATTTGAAACTTAATTTCTCTAAATAGAAACAACCTAGTGCTTAGAAATAAGACGGAGCTGAAAACTTAAATCTTAAGCTTTCAAATGGTAGGTATATAATTTTTTTTTAAACAATCAGAAAAAGCATGCAATATAGACCAATAACAATTTTTTTTTTTTTTTTGCTTAAGTGTTCAATAAAACAAAGTTTGCCATTGTTTACAATCGGGACAACATCCACGATTATCTTAAGAGTACCTGCAAAAAAAAAAAATTAAAGTTGAGTATATTTGACTTAACAATTATAATTAGTGATAAATCAAATATTCGGCAGCTTGAACTCGGCTAAACATAAGGTCTGTTCCTGTACCTTTTTTTCTGCTGTTGCTATAAGATACTGTAAAATAGACTGGGAAAACCAAGATTAATAAGTCCAAAATGTTCAAAATGCGTGTTTTTAACTTACTTTATTAGGTTTTACCAGATTCTTATTTTACTGCAACATACAGCGGAAGCGTTAAAAGCATGTGCGGGAACAAAACTATTATTTACTGAAATTGTACCACACCATGTTGTACCACAGTTGAAAAGATCAGATATAATAGAGCGCTTTCCCGGCGCATGTTAGTAATTTAGCTTCCTGTACCAAAATCAACATTATTCTTTCAACTCGATATTGAGATAGGTAGAATCTGTATTATTACACTACAAAAAAATATTAGTATTTTGAGAGCCCCAGGGCAGCAAACTCAATGAATTGAAAAGGCATTTGAGTACATCTGCGGAAACTTCCGAGTGAATAAAAAAATCAATAAACCTTGACTTGTCAAAAGATAAACAATTATAACGGAATTTAAAGGAAATAAACCAACCCACTCAAAGCTCTTCATAAAGGGATTCCGTTAAGAGGTTCGACAAATTTAAAGGATTAAAATTCCGACATCTATGGGAAAAGGCTAACAGACAAAATTAGCGTTTTGAGTTTGTTAATAAAGATTTTATTGACGCGTAGTTTAACATGGAAATATTCGTGGAAATCGAACCAGAACCTTCAACTTCATCGGGACGTGGACGGCCATCAAAACAATTCGATGTATCAAGCGAGCGTAGTAAACGGCGGAAAATAAACGCGCTTTTGGTAGCAAGAAGAACTGCGTACAATCGTCGTGAAACCAGTCTTGTTAAAGTGATTGGTCACATTTTGAAGAACAGAAGAACATTTCAACAGAAACAACTTCACAGAGAATAGCATTAGAAGAATTATTGAGTGGCGTTGATGAAATTGACGATGGTTTTGTTGAAGATGCAAGTGTAGAAAAT